TCCATCCACCCATTACTCACCCATCTGTCCATCCACGCATCACTCACCCCTTGGTCCATCCATCCCTCACCCATCCATCCATCCACCCATTACTCACCCATCTGTCCATCCACCCACTACTCACCCATCTGCCCATCCACTCATTACTCACCCATCTGTCCATTCACCCATCACTCATCACTTTATCCATCCATCCATCACTCACACATCCGTCCATCCACCCATTACTCACCCATCTGTCCATCCACCCATCACTCACCCCTTGGTCCATCCATCTATCACTCACCCATCCATCCATCTACCCATTACTCACCCATCTGTCCATCCACTCATCACTCACCCCTTGGTCCATCCATCCATCACTCACCCATTTGTCCATCCACCCATCACGCAACCATCTGTTAATCCATCCATCATTTGTCCATCGCTCCATCCACCCATCAGTCACCCATTGGTCCATCCACCCATCACTCACCCATTGGTCCATCCACCCACCTACCCACCCACTCAGCTGCCTTCCTGGCCATCTGTCCAGCACACCCATCCAGGTGCTAGGCACTTCCTCTGTGCCAAGCCCAGGAAGGTCACTGCATGTGGAAGCTGAGGTGATGGGAGATGGTTGTGACTTTGGTGACACAGGTGATTCCAGGTGACGTGGTTTGGATTTGTGTCCCCATCCAAATCTCAGGTCAGACTGGAAGCCCAAGTGTTGGAGGAGGGGCCTGGGGGGAGGTGAGGGGATCACGGGGGTGGACTTCTCCATTGCTGTTCTCGTAACAGTGAGTTCTCACGCGGTCTGGTTGTCTGGATGTGTGTGGCATCTTCCCCCATCATGTAGGAGGTGCCTCCTTCCTTCCTCTTTGCCCTCCCACCATGATTGAAAGTTTCTTGAGGCCTCCCCAACCATGCTTCCCGTACAGCCTGCAGAACTGTGAGTCAATCAATCTTTTCCTTATAAATTACGCAGGCTCAGGTAGCTCTTCATAGCAACGCGAGAACTAATACACCAGGCTACGGGGATGGGGAGGCTGGGAAGTGCTGGGGGAGGACACTTCCAAGGTAAACAGGGTCTGCCAGACTGATGCACAAGGCCGCTCCCGGCAGAGGAAGGAAGAGCTGGAGCTGTGGTGCGGGGTGCATGGCCTGGGAGGGGCTGAGCAAGGTTGGAGAGCGGTGCATGCAGCAAGCTGATCATGGAGGGCCTGGTCAGCGTCTTTCAGAACCTGGGTCTTGTGTGTGATGACCTCACCCTCTCCGAGGCTCCTCGACTCTGGCCTCCGCTGTGTTGGTCCCTGCTATGAGAGGGCTGGGAAGAGGCGAGCTGATGCCTGATCCACTGTCTTGGCCACCCTGAGGCCTTGTGCCATCTGCACAGTATCCAGGGACCTCAGACCCGGGGACAGCACCTGGAGGGACCTCAGACCCAGGGACAGCACCTGGAGGGACCTCAGACCCAGGGACAGCACCTGAAGGGACCTCAGACCCAGGGACAGCACCTGGCACACTTGCTGGGGAGAAGACGCTGTGGTGGGTGGTGGCCCACGAGTGCGTACGTGTGTGGTTGTCTGAGAATGTGCATGCCTGCACATGTGAGCGTGTTGTGTTCAATTGCACATGTGTGCAGGTATTGTTGCCTTGCTTGTCTGCACATGTACCTGTGTGTTCATTTCATGCATGTATGGCTGGGAACGTGTGTGTACATGGCTATGCATACGTGTGTACATGCCTGTGTGTCTGTGTATGCCTGGAACCACGGACACCCAGGGCATGTGGGGCTGGAGAACAGGCGTGGCCAAGCTCACAGATGGGCAGATGCACGGACACTCAGGCAGGACTCGTGTTTCCAGGCCAAGACACACTTGACACTTCTGGGTTAAATCAGGGGAATGAAAAGAAGAAAATCTAACAGGCATAACTCCAGGCACATTCTGCTCCATTTCCATTCTGAGTGGGACTCAAGGGCCCTGTCATATGATCTCCAAGAGCAGATCTGAGTTCTACCAGACCCTAGCATAGAAACAAACGCAGCTGCTTCGCACCCCCTGCCCCCCGCCGTGGGCTCTTCTTGTCTCTGCCTCTCCTGAATTACAGACCTCAAACCACTGTCCCTATGTTGTCTAATTGGGCTTACCTGGATTGCTATTTCAATTCTGTAAAGCGATTCAATGTCACAGATAATGATACTGCAAACAAATTTGAAACGCACAGTGTGCCTGGCACAGTTTCAAATCTATATACAGTATCATTATCTGTGACACTGAATGGCTTTACAGAATTAGATGGCATGTGTGCACACATATACATGCATGCTCAAACACGTGCCCAAAGACATGCATGCACTCACACACGTGCCCACACATTTCTACACATGCACATATGCATGCACGCTCATGTGTCCACACATTCACACACGCTCATACATGTCGTGTCCACACAGTTGCACATGCTCAAACATGTGTCCACACATTCCCACACACTCACACACATCCACACATTCATGCACTCACACGCATGCCCACACATTTCCACACATGCACAAATGCACACACACTCACGTGTCCACACATTCACACACGCTCATACATGTCATGTCCATACAGTCACACAAGCTCAAACGTGTCCACACATTCCCACACACTCACATCCACACATTCATGCACTCACATGCGTGTCTGCACATTCATGCACACTCACACATCCACGTATTCATGCACACTCACACATGTCCACATTCATGCACTTATATGTCACGTCCACACATTCATGCACACTAACCCATGTCCACATTCATGCATGTTCATACGTTGTGTCCATTCATGCACGCTCACACATGTCCACACAGTCATGCACGCTCACACATGTCCACACAGTCATGCACACTCACATATGTCCACATATTCATGCACACTCACGTGTCCACATTCACACACGCTCACACATGTCCACATATTCATGCACTCATGTGTCCACATTCACACACGCTCACACATGTCCACATTTATACACTCACACACGTCCACACATTCATGCACACTCATACATGTCCACATTCACACATGCTCACACATGTCCACACATTCACACACAAACACATGTCCACACATTCATGCACTCACACACATGTCCACACATTCACACTCACACATGTCCACACATTCACGCACACTCACACATGTCCACACATTCATGCATGCTCACACGTGTCCACATTCATGCACGCACACACGTGTCCACACATTCACGCACTCACATGTCCACACATTGACACACACACACATGTCCACACATTCATGCACTCACACACATGTCCACACATTCATGCACTCACGTGTCCACACATTCATGCACTCACGTGTCCACACATTCACACATGCTCACACACATCCACATATTCATGCACACTCATGTGTCCACATTCACACACATACATGTGTCCACACATTCATGCACACTCACACATGTCCACACGTTCACAAGCTCACACATGCCAGACACATGCACACATCTTGTATGTGCACACATGCATGCACACTCACACACGTGTCCACACACATGCACTTGTCCCTGTGGAAAACACAAAGGAATGAAAAAATAGGGTCCTCTAAAGAAATCTGGCAGTACAGAGGTTACAAGTTAAATTCCATCTAAAAATTATCTATAGAACCTGTTATCAAGGTAACTGTCCCCCAAATAGCTGCCTACCCTGCAAAAAGCTTTTTGCATCCATCCGTCCGCGCTACAAACACAACTACATGTAGCCCACACTACACGAGAGGCTCAGACCACAGGTTTTCACCCCGCGGCATGCTCCTGTGGCCGGGGCCTCGCCAGGCGTCCCCTCGCTGCACAGATTGGCGTGCTGGGCAGACTCACCCTGCATCTTCTCCAGCTTGCTCATGTACGAGTTGAAGAGGGAGTAGATACGCTCTGTCTCACGGTCCCCATCAATGTCCAGCTGGATGTTGGCTGGGAGGCCGCTGTCCAGACACATCAAGAACAGAAAGATAAAAACACTTATTTAAACTATGCTTTTAATAACGACATTAATTTTTAAAATGTCACTGAAGAAAGACGACGATATGTTGGAAGTGAAACTCGAGACAGGACCTATTTGGCGTCTGTCTGTACACAGCTAGCGTGCTGGCTTGCTGAGCAAGTCTAGTGGCATCCACAGCAGCACGGGCAGCTGTGTCACCAGGCCGGCCGCAAGCCGGAACGAACCGGCAACCTCTGCGATTGGCATCCACAGCAGCACGGACAGCTGTGTCACCAGGCCGGCCGCAAGCCGGAACGAACCGGCAACCTCTGCTTCAGTTACCATCAGCCTATTTGGACACTCGGCAAAAGATCCTCGCTGTTCAGTATTTAAAATGTGCTTATCGTTTGTACTAACTGACCTTTCCTGAAATCATGCAGTACTGAGTTACGTCTTGTTTAAATCTATTCCTACTCCAGAATCTTCTCAATACATAAGAAATTTAGGAAAATTAGGCACTAAAGTCCCCAGCGTAATACTTGTACATTTTTAGTATCATACAGAACTAAATTCCCAGGAACTATGAACACTCCAGACCTCAGGTGGTTTACTCCTTCAGTCATTTCAAACACGGAAGGAGGCTGTGCGGTTATTTCCCTGCTCACTCTATGTCCGCTTCTCCTACGTTCACACCAGCACACGTCAGGCTGGAGTGCAGTGGCGCGATCTCAGCTCACTGAAACCTCTGCTTTCCAGGTTTAAGTGATTCTCCTGCCTCAGCCTCCCGAGTAGCTTGGATTATAGGCGTCCGCCACCATGCTGGCTAATTTTTGTATTTTTAGTGGAGATGGGGTTTCACCATGTTGGCCAGGCTGGTCTTGAACTCCTGACCTCAGGTGATCCACCCACCTCGACCTACCAAAGTGCTGGGATTACAGGTGTGAGCCACTGAGCCCGGCCTCATGTCTTTTAATAAATCTTACTTGTCTTATTATGAAAAACCTCCAAAGTTGGGTGCGGTGGCTCACGCCTGTAATCCCCACACTTTTGGGAGGCAGAGGTGGGTGGATCATCTGAAGTCAGGAGTTCAAGACCATCCGGGCCAACATGGTGAGACTGTCTCTACTAAAAATATAAAAATTAGCTGGGTGTGGTGGCACACACCTATAATCCCAGCTACTCAGGAGGCTGAGAAAGGAGAATTGCTTGAACCCGGGACGTGGAGGTTGCAGTGAGCTGAGATCACACCACTGCACTCCAGCCTGGGCAACAGAGCGAGACTCCATCTTAAAAAAGAAAAGAAAACAAAAGAAAATCTACATTGTACAGAAGCACGTCTTTGACGGCTTCAGACACAGGGGGCTCACGGTTAATTCAACATTTGCACTCAGGTGCAACCAACAGGAAGGGCTTGATAGGAATGCGCGGGGCTGTTAATTATTTTTAGCAAATTCTGCCTTGTGCAGAACATATGAAATATGCTCTTAAATTTAGTAAATACTTTTTAAAAGGCAGAAATGCTTCTTATAGCTAAAACAATTCTTAAATCATAAAATTTCTGACGCTTCTGCGATGTTTGCCACACTGATTAGAAATTGTTTCACCAACTTATTTTTGTTTGAAGTGTGGTAGTTTTCCCCTTTTCTTCCCAGCCTCTCTTGCGAAAAAAGAAGTGGGTTTCTGCCAACGAACTGAACAGACGTCCAATGTTGTATATACCTTTTGAGCTGAGTAGCTCAGTATCTGGATACTTGGTCATTTGGTTCATTATGTAATTGATAAAATGGTGTCATTTATTCATGTTAGTTCAACCATATATGTATACTCTCTGGAGATGGGCGGTTATACTTCCGTGTGAGAAATAATTGGTCAGTCTTAAACAGTTTGTAAAAACTTAGTGGTGAGAGCTTCAACATCTAAATAAATAATGAAATGCATTTATCATCAAAAAAAAAAAAAGGAAAGAAGAAGATGAAGCGACCGACATTAAAACACATCCCTGGCCAGTCAGGGGGTTCATGTCAGTAATCCCAGCACTCTGGGAGGCCGAGACAGAAGGATCACTTGAGCCCAGGAGGACCCTGGGTAACACCGGGAGACCCTTACAGTGAGATTTGGACAACACAGTGAGACCCTGTCTCTACAAAAAACAAAATTTAGTGAGCTGGGCGTGGTGGCACCCGCCTGTAGTCCCAGTTACTCGGGAAGGTGACGTGGGAGGATTGCTTGAGCCCAGAAGTTTGAGACCAGTCTGGGCAATGTGGTGAAACCTCGTTTCAACAAAAAACCTTAAAACAATTAGCCTGGAGTGGTGGAGCACAGCTGTAGTCCCAGGTACCTGGGAGACTGAGGTGGGAGGATGGCTTGAGCCTGGGAGGTGGAGGCCTGAGATTGCACCACTGCACTCCAGCCTGGGCGACAGAACGAGATCCCGTCTCAAAAACATAAAACTAAAAAAGCATCCCTGAGCTGGGAGAGCTGAGGCCGGCTACGGGTGTGCGGGACAGGGGAGACTCCCGAGCTGTCCGGTCTCAGCGGCTGGAGACTCTTGGGACCCTCAGATCTGCCAAGGCAGCGAGCAAATTCGGCAGATGTTTTCTCATGGGGAGAAATGGCCTGGAAGGAAGCCTCCTGGGGCTCTGTCCCCGGCAGAGTCGGCTGCAGCTGGGGGTGGGCCAGGTTTCCTCTCCTCCCCAGGCTGCAATGCTTCCCGTTCTCCCGGGATTTCGAGGATACAGGAGAGCGCTGGCCTCTCCCGGGGATCCTGGGACGGTGGCCACGCATGCCTGGGCGGCGGCCAGACCTTCCTCCTGAGCTTCAGCCTCTGTGTCCATGAAGCAGGATCTAAGGTCCCACCTCGGAGGCTGTGGGAGGATTGAACAGTGGCCCAGTGTGGAGCACAGCTCATCCTCCGCAGGGCCCTTACGTGAGGCCATAATGTGGCCAGGACAACAGTGAGGTGCATCTCACGGAGCATAACCGGGGACGCCAGGCACCCCGGCCTCCTTCTAGGACCAGCAGACATGATCCTAGTCTCTGTGGAACTGCCGGAGGCCCAGCTGACGAGCGGCCAGGAAGACAATGGGCTGCTGTGTCACACGGAATCAAGGTGGGTGTCCTGGGCCAGATGAAACTTTCAGGGAGGGGTTTGCTCCCACGCTTCTCTCAGAAAAGCAGGATGGCCGCGGACTGGGGAGCCCCCCTTCACCCTGACCTCCCACTCCCCCAGGGCAGGGCCTCAGGAGGACCCTCGAAGGCCTGCAGCACCCTCGAGTCTGCACAGAGCCTTCGAGAGACTGGGCCCCAGATGCCCCCTTGGGTGGGAGGTCCCCTCAGGTGGGAGGCTCCTGGGACGAGGCGAATGCAGCCTCGTTTATTTGCGGCTTACAGGTGGACATGCACTGTCCACTGGTCCCTCCCTACTTGGCCCCTTGGCCACACTTCCTGCACAGTGCACACGCCGGGCGCCGAGGCACAGACCTACCCGGTGCAGGGCGAGCAGCCTGGAGCCGAGTCCGAGGGCGCCCTACAGCACAGCCAGTGGCCGCTCAGGTAGGCGGACGGGTGGTAGACAGTGAGGCGCTTCTGGTTGCACTGGCTCACTTTGGTGAGGATGTCGATCCAGTCCTTGGCCTCCACGCAGTTGTTGGCCTGGATGTACAGCGCGCGCTCCGGCTGGATGACCTGGAACATCTGAGGATACAGGCGGGCTCAGGACGGTGCACACGAGGTCTCGTGGATGAGCGCGTGCAAGAGGCCGCCAGGCACCTGGCTGTCCTCGCTGGAGCCGTAAGAGGGGACGCCGAGGGTGCACAGGCCCAGGCGTCCCGGAGCTCTGAGCCCCAGAAGAGGCCAAGCCTGGGGGCTGCGCAGAGCTCTCTGCCACCCTTAAACTTGACCGCTGGGGCCGTGGGGGATGGAGGTAAGAACTGGTGTGGCTGGAGACGTGGCTGGGTGGCCAGGAACAGCTTGACCAAGGTGCTTTATGTGCTGGAGCCTTGGAGGTCTCCACTCAAAAGGCAGAAGAGGGGCCTGTGGGCTCCCCACGAGGCAGGCGTCCACCCACGCGGAGCTCCTGCGGCGTCAGCCCAGGTGGCCCAACCTGCTCAGCTCCTCTCCTACCCGACCAGCCCAGGGTGCTTCCTCCTCCTCCCAGCTGGGGTTAGGGGGCTCCTTTCTCTTGAAGCGTCTCGGGGCAGCAACAACCTTTGCCATTTACTACTCATTCCACACACATGACCAAGCACCAGCACTCTCCTAGGTCCCAGAGACAACGCCTGGCCTAGAGTTTCTGCTGAACCTGCAGCCACCAAGACAGACTAAACAAGGGCAGGCGTCAGCAGGGGCTGGAAGTGAGTAGTGCTGGTGCTGCGGTTGGGGCTGACTCAAAGTTAGTCAAGCAGGGGGTGGGGGCAAAGGGTGTTAAAGGCAGAAGAAATGGGAGGCACAAAGGTCCTGGGGCACGGGGGACAGGGGTCCTGTGATGGGAGGAACAGGGGTCCCAGGGCAGGAGTGACAGAGGCCCTAGGATTAGAGGGACGGGGGCCCTGGGGTAGGGGGATGGGGGCCCT